GTGAAATTATTTATTACAGAAAAACAGAGAGTTTGTTCTGGTAATATTCACTCACAAGAAACAACTGTTAAGTGTGGCGTTCCACAAGGATCAATTTTAGGACCAATTCTATTCCTTATTTTTACATATGACCTTCCATTATGTGTTAATCATTCAACCACAATTAATTCAATGGTCATTTGCAAAATCATTCATTATATTAATATACTATTTCATAGAACAATCTTTGCAAGAATATTTGAATAAAATAGTTGATTGGTTTTAAATTCAACTAAACTGAATCTATGTTGGTTTGAAATCGGGCTGTTAAAAACAAAATGTCATTAAAGTGAATTCACAATCAATTGAAATTGTCTCTAAGACAATCTTTCTTGGCGATACGGTTGTTGATCACTTAGACTGGGAACAACACCTTAAAAAATTACATGGAAACTTAGCTTCAAAAATTTACCTCCTTAGTAGAATTAAAAAAACATTTACCACTTACTGGCATTTTATTTTATAATAGTTATATATTATCTGTTATATATTATCTGTTATATATTATCTGTTATAGATTATTTGTTATATATTATCTGTTATATATTATCTGTTATATATTATCTGTTATATATTATCTGTTATATATTATCTGTTATATATTATCTGTTATAGATTATTGTAATATTGTATATGGGGTAATACCTTCCTTAGTAAACTTCTAAATTCTAAAACTTCAAAAACGTGCTACAAGAAGTATCCTAGACTCGAAAAATGATGCAAGATCGGTTGTTTTCACATTTAAATTGGCTCAAAATCTATCAGCGAATTAAATACAACACTGTGATACTGGCATACAAAATTCTGAAAGACATTTGTCCAGATTATTTCATACGGTATATATAGATTTCTGGATAGTAAGAATTTGTGCTCAATATATTCGCAACTATGTGGTATATATAAATTACTAGATTGTGAGAGTTGCGCACTATACTCGAAATTATACAATACCGTATCGAATGCAAATCAAAACTCAATTAGAAGAATTGCGCACTATTTTCGCAGTTATACGGTACTGTGTCCAATGCAATGCAATGATAAAAACTCATTTACACAAACTAACTATGCTGATGATTGAAGATTATAGTCAAGACACGTATTAACAGTAAAAAAAACTATAACCAATAAGATATGATTACAAAGATAAACAAACGAAGACAAAGTATGAATTTTATCTATCAATCTTATTCTTGATAATTAAATGCTAACCATAAGCAA